GGTCCGTTCTGCTTTTCCTATTCAGTATTGTACAAATTTTCAGCGATATACATAATACAGTTAGCGAATTTCCTCTGGTTTCAGGATTCAGCAGACGATCGCGAGTGTGAGAACAAGTTGGTTCTTCTGCTCGGCTTCGATCACTTCGACTTTATTCGTACTCTGCGCCAACATCGACATATGGTTCTGTACTGTACCTTACTGAAACAAGCTCAAGATGAAGAAAGAGTCAAGGTTGGTGATTTGCTTTTTCTTCTCTGAGCATTTCGTTATTATCCTTGTTCAGATCGAAGAGGAAATGAAAATGAAACCTGAACTACATCATGTGCTTGCACAGCTTCTAGAAACAGATGAGGCCGATATTGTTGAGGTTCGTAACCAGCACTTTCTGGTTTATGGTTTTTTGAAAGGTATTGCTTTCTCTCCAGACTGAGCGCGCTAAACGTGAAAAGACGGCCCAAAGGCGAGCAGCGGCTGCTGCTGGAGAAGAAGCTGTGGCTGCTGGTCAGTGGTTGGCTGCCAGAAAAGTACTCGATCTCGAGGATCTCACCTTCTCTCAAGGGAGTCATCTAATGAGCAACAAGAGGTATGATAACATCATTCGTAAGGTTATGCTGATCTTATTGTGCCTAACAGATAGCCATAACGACATTAGGCACAATATCTTTACATCTGTTGATTGAAGGCAAAGAGCACGACGATTTCCCTTGACCTGTAAGAGGAATATGCCGATCACCAAAGAATGTCGCATCCTGAGCAGGCCTCAAGGCCTTACATACATCTTTTCCAAATAAAAGCGTCTCTGAGCATCCTAGCAAGGCTCAACATACAATCCATACGCCCTCCTACCATGGCACTCCCACAGTGGCCGCACTTATCAGCAATTAATCGCGATCATATCGGCTGTTTTCACCCAGAATCTGCTGCTGAATGGCGCTTTTTACCCTTATTCAGGGTTTCTTCTGAAAGTTGTAAGCGTCTCGGTTCTTACTTGTGGCGGAAAATATCTTTTTTTTGGCACAGCAGAAGATTTTCTTGCGGGTAGGCCCGTTTTTCACTTATTTGCCGCGAGTTTCCGAGCAGTCACTTCGTGACAAGGTCATGGATATGTCGTTGCTTCTGTCACGACCCCTGTTTACATTGTCATGAAGTTTGCTACCACTTGAAGTAACGTGTTTTCATATTTCTTTTGCAGTCGCCGTAATTTTTTTTTCATTTCTACTATCGCACTGTTCAGTGTCCCTGCTCCCGTTTTCTCCGCTAGACCAAAATTATCGTGCTCCCTGCCTTTATGTGAAAGAAAGACGAACAGTCGAACAGAAGTCGCGTGCTGAGTTTTTCGGGTTATAGTGTTAATTCGTGTCCAACGTTATCAGCTACTGCCTTTCTCCCCCTAATTGATGTTTCAGTTTTTATTCTTTACTCCCCACCTGCTCTTTTCGTTGCGTATCACTAGGCACTCGAGGGTCTTGGAGATCACCACGAACTGCGGTTCGCCAGGATGAGAGCCGAAGCGAACCTTTTTTCAATGTTGTCATAACTTGATTGTTTCCAGAGCAACCTTTTTTCTTTCCATTTTTATTTATTTATTTACTGGTCTGATAGTGGTATCAATGAGACTCTACTTCGTTTCAGATGTGAACTGCCTGACGGATCGTACAGGAAACAGAAGAAGAGTTATGAGGAAATTCATGTACCCGCGTTGAAACCAAAGCCATTTGCGGAAGGAGAAGTTAGTTTGAGGATAGTGTTGTATAAATCACTTTATATACAAGTTGTTCTCTTTCAGAAGTTAATCGACATAGGCGAGTTACCAAAGTGGGTACAACCGGCTTTTGAAGGCTTCAAGTCTTTGAACCGCATTCAAGTCGCGTCTTTGCGAGAGCGCTTTGAACACCGATGAACACCTCCTTCTCTGCGCACCAACTGTATGTACTCATAACGTTTCAGCCGCACTCGATTCCATATGCTTGATTTTCTCAGGGAGCTGGTAAAACAAATGTCGCATTACTGGCGATTCTCCGCGAGATTGGAAAACATTTAAATGAAGATGGAAGTGTGAAACTGGATGAGTTCAAATGTATCTATATCGCTCCAATGAAATCACTTGTGCAAGAAATGGTTGGAAACTTCACCAAGAGATTGGCACCATTTGGAATTACTGTAAGACAATTGAATTAATGCTGTAGTTGCAAGATGCAATTGTATTCGAAATTTAAGGTTGGAGAGATGACTGGAGATGCACAAATGAGCAAAGAACAATTCATGGCAACACAAGTCATTGTTTGTACCCCGGAAAAATACGACATAGTTTCAAGAAAGGGTATGTTGACTATGTATTTCTTGATTCGTACCATATCCACTTTAAATTCACCACTTTTCATACCAAAATCACCACTTTTCAAAAAAACCACTTTTCAAATAAATTCAGTGCACTTTTCAAACCGATTAATTAATCAATCAGATCGCGCTAGACATAGTTGCAAGCCTCGCCCCAACGGCCACGCTTGCTTCTCAGCGTGGACATGAACTTTCAAGTTTTATTTTGTAGTTTCTGCCTCTATGACTTGGTTGACTTTAGCTCTTTTGCACATGAAGGAAGGACTGACTGAAAAGAACTAAATATCGACACGTGACCGACCCCTCACACTTTTTGAAAAATAATGCAAATGGAAGGCTAGAGGTCTAGCTGGCATATTAGGGTCTCGTTCGTCGCTCGGAGCGAAAAACCAAGCGGCGGAACTTAGTGTGCCAGTGCACAAATGTGCTTCTATAAGTGCCCTCGTTTTCTGAAGAGTAGATGCGAAATCAAGGAACTTGGAAAAAGTTATGAAAATCCGATGTTCGCAAGAAATTCTTTTGAAAGTCGGCGGAGTCGGCTATGTGTCGATGCATAGTCCTCCTCAGTCAATGTGCGTGTGGT